TATATATATATATATATATAGAATGTCGAGACATTATGATCCGAGCTATAATAAGATCACTCGACACCAAGTTATATTGAGATCCGCACTAAATATATAAATCTTGACCACTGTATAAATGGATTTCCGTAATAACTATAAAAGTGCATGTTTCGAGATAAAGGTGTCTCCCCCGGTTCGTTCTTCAATCCTGGTTCGTGCTGAAATTACTTTTGAGATTGTTAGTGTCCTTTTATTTTTCTCTCATTAGCGACGTTAATATCCTTTTGGCATTAATCAATGTTTGATTGTGAAACTCGGCAAAAAAATAAGCTACCCAGAGGATTTGTGACTTGTGTTGCGGGAGCTGTTTCTAATCAAAGTTGTGGGTTCATTTCCTATTGGTCAGAATCGTAAACATACCGTAAGAACGCCGAAACTTTAATATGGGGTGTAAAATCATAATAACACAGGAAGTGATATACGTATGTGCTTGTGTAGGTCTATATGACAGTATTTGTACTGTGAACGTTAGTTAAAACGAAGATACACGTCTTTATCACATTGTTAATCATTTAAATTTTGAATATTCATGATATTTTTTTACAGTTTCCAACTATTTGAATTTTAATGGCAAAATTCTTGGGGTTTTTTTTATCCCTACCTGTGGTGAATTCTGAAAAAACCCTAACAAAAATTTATCTATTTATATAACTGAAACATTATTTTTTTAGCTGAACTAAGACACCAGCTAGACCAAAGGAGGCCAGGCTGCCTAATTACCGGTATAGGTGATGAACGCTGAAATTAAATACACCATAGGCCATGTAAAGTTATTAAAAATACATTTAAATCCGGCACAATGTGTAAAAGTTAAAGTAAGCGCAGTATACAGTACATCAAGAGAGATTGTATAGCCCGCATTTATAAACGAAAAGGATAGGCATATAACTTAATTTTATAAACACTGTTCAAAAATTTAGCAGCGTATAGAATTCTCGCTGAGAAATGAAGGCCTACCGTACCTGACGTTAAAGTATTTTTAAATGATTTTTTTTTACTTTTGTTAATTATAGGCCATTATTTCTTATTTAAGTTTTTTGTATGTTTAAAAAAAATAATTTTAATGTTACAGTAAATATAATACTTATAAACGCTTGTTTAGGGCCAGCTGTATTGTTGTTTTGTTGTCTTATTTTTGGTAAAATAAATAAAAGAAACGACACTATTTTCTTCAACCCAGGATTTGAATAATACAGTGGCCTACCACGGACGACTTGATCGCACCGTTGATCGATCGCCTTATGGATAATGGTGACATCTTCAATTTGGATGATCTAGGTCATAGATGTCGGTCAGAAAGCAGCTTCTCGGCAAATACTTTAGCCCTAGGCCTACCTCACGTGTGATAAGACTCGGACATCTTCCATTTCCTAACCGCTTTGATTTGTTTAGGTAATTGGGACTTAGGGACTTAGTTAAGCTGAAGTGAAGTTTTTGCAAGAAGTGTGTCTTTTTATCATTCAAATTATTGGCCTTTTTATAGGTGGTTTAATACTTTAAAAAGGCGGTGGCTATTGTAGCACCAGTTTTCACAATTTAAAATTTGAATAGGAGGCCTATTAATGTATGTATGTATCGGATTAGGACACATCCAATCAGAATTAGGAATTCATTTAAGACTTTGTAACAATAGTTACTACCTTTTAATTATTAAATCACTATAGAGGCATAGGTCGTCCAAAGAGAAAAGATTCATCCCAATAATTTTAGAATAAATCATAAGGAAAGAGAAACCTATAAATGATTTTACGATCTGATCTCACCATATGACAGACATGTATGAAAGAGAATAAGGCGTGGTTCCTCCTGCAGAGAATTTAATGAAATTACGATAACAGCCCTGTCACACGCTAGAGGCTGATAACATAGAGTAAAATTAAAATAATCGTCCGGTATTTTAATGAGTAATAATTATTGTAAATAATCAGAATAGGCCTAGATAAATAATAGGCATAGGGAAATATTTATGATAAATATTAATCAACCGGGTATTTAATCAATGGATATATAAAACACTATTTAAAATTCAGTCATTGGTAAGTAAAACAATTAAAAAAATATCCAACAATCCAATTATTGGTCAAATTAAAAATTTCCTTAAAAATAATAATAATACAATCAACCATTTTTGAACTTGGAAGTTTTGTCACCTATAGACGTAATACAGTGTGACATAACAAAAACTTTCAACTTTAGAAACAGAATATTAATTAAATTTTATATCCCCTATTTAGGCGGTAGGTTATAAAGTGTAGCCTACGGAAGTGGCCTATAATATAATATTTCCCGACTTCAACCCGCGTACGTATCTCCTTGGTTAAATGCTATAAAACATTTCAATCGGATATGTTCAGGTTGAGACAGAATTCATCCAGGAAAATGCATATTGCTAGTAATGTAAATGACATAATCACGTCTCATTAAGTTCAGCAATTGAATGGGGTTCACGCCTTAACACATCCGCTGTAAAGTTTGCGGTTGTGGTCCCCTGTCGTTAGGAGACAGGCTAAACATCCTCATTTGTTCAAAATGGCTTCCCGTTCATGATTTCTTCCCATATTTAGATTAAATTTTAAGTAATATAGTTACATAACAGTTATGGCTATGGTCCGTGCCAATCGAGTAAAGACGCATGTTTCCCCTATTGAACCTCAATGCAATATTATGAGGAGGGGAATGTGCAATAGTTGGTTGGCATCAAAATAGTCCTAAAATAGCGGTTTATTGTCTCGGAAGGATTGTTAGGTTCATAAAATTCTATAAATGAAATGAAATTTAAAAGATAACAAATAATGACAAATTGTGCTATATATGATATTAGTAGGTTTACTCACGTAAACAATATTTATGTTTACTTGGCAGTTTCTGATGATAGGAAGACTAGACTCTCCGGTAGTGTATGTAAAAAAAAGAGAGAAGAAAATCAATTTCAAGCTTTTATTATTTTTGAGTTTTTAAAATAATTTCCTGCGTGACAGTAGGCCTACTGTTTGAGTGGCCCCTGGCCTGAAGTAAGAACTGAAATTTATGTGAAATTTGAAGGTGGCGCTTTTGATGGCGCCCTCTAACGCCACAATAACAAACTCCACGTAGCAAGAACCAACATGGATGCGCCCATTCAGGTAAAATTGCCGACATAAAATATCACATTTTATAAAGTTTCTTTCTGTAACTTACGGACAAGTAGGGTTGAGAATGTTATATTTTAATCAAATCTCATTCCTGTTTAGCTAAGCGTGTATTGATTTTGCTTTGAGCGTACATTTTTTACCACAGCCTATCAATAGTCTTACTTATTTTCCTTTGCCATGACTGGCTGGCCGTACGAATGCCATCAGAACAACCTTCGAATCCGGCCACGTAGGCTAGACTAGGCCTACAACTTCCAAATCACGTTATTGTTTGTATATCATTAAAATATTTCGTAATTTCTACTGGCACACCAATTTACATTTATTAACCTATTTCCGAATTGATTTTTAATCCTAACTAATTAATGTGCTTATGAAGTAAGTTACAGTATATGCCCCCCCCCCATACCCTAGCTGTTTGGGTGGGTGGGTGTCGTGAATGTGCGAGCAGAGCATTAGTCGTACTGGCGCTGATGCACTTTCACACCTAACTTTTAATTCTTATTTTTTTCACCTAAATGTTCTTCTCACAGTCACAACACATAATTATAAAACATTTTTACATGATTCAACCACTCAAAAAATGTATTTTTCAACAAAAAAGATACCTTTATAAACAGGTTGATACAGCGTTTTTGCGCTTGCTAGCCCGACGAGCTGTACATACCTTTTTGCTGCTTTGCAATCAAGTAAGAAATTGCCAGAATGTCCAAGTCAATTAGTAAATTTTGAAACATTTAAAGGCCAGTCTTATAATTTGAATCTGAATTTTCCCATGAAACATCTGTCACCAAAATATGGCATCATTACGTGGTACCATCTTTTAAAACTTTCTTGTCGTAATCAAGGTTAATCGAACCGAATGCTTACCAGGGGACCTGACCTTTGACAACTGTGAGCATCTGTGAGTCGTTGCAATTTGAGGTGATAATCAGCAATCATCCAATCAAAAACAATTGAAAAACATCACCAGTTGCTTTCAATCTTCTGAATTTCATGGGTTATTGATTGTTGATTGTAGTGTATCTCACACCAAAACTAAATCGAAGGGAAAAAAAATCTTATACAGTAATAAGTAAATAAATGAATGAATAAATAAATAATTAAATAACAATACAGTGAATAAAAAGTAAGCAAAAAATAGGCATTATAGTACATTTTAGATGTTACATTTTAAATTGAATATAGTTAATGTTCAGAATTATTGCTAGATATAGTATTTTACTCATCTTATTTGATATCTTCCATTGGTAATACTGTACGTTTGGCAGATCTGTAATTTAAGTTGTTCACAATTTGTGAAATATTTTAAATTTAAATTGTAGCGAATACTGTAATGTATAAAAATAGACTAGTGTACATACTAGTCTATATAGTCTAGTGTATAGACTCTCATTCTTCTTTTCATCCTCCATTGACAAAATTCACTGCTAACAAGTTTACAAAAAATTTAAATACCTCCAATTAAAGACCACCTTTTTGCAGCCTCAAATGAATGCCATCTTTAATATCCTTTAATATGATAATATTTTTTCTAATTAAAGACCGGAGCTGCTAAAGACCGTGAAAACCTTGGTCTTAAAAGTGGTCTTTTATTGGAGGGAGACCTGAATGATGATAACAAGACATTGTAGTCCCATGACTTGTTAAGTGTATTCATTTACAGTATCAATGGGATAATTCACCTTTTGCTTCATTACAGAAACGATGTTAGCAATTGTCATCAATTTCCTTAGCACAAATTCATCACATTTAAAAAGTTCAAAAGGTCTTAAGAATTTTTCAAAAGATTTCCAAGGGGCTATTGTCCGCTAGAAAATTAAAAAAAATCATAAAAATCAATTTTTAAATGAACTTGTTCATCATGGAGAGCAGTGGTTAACATTAGGTTCAGTTTTTACTATTATAAGTTTTTTGGTTTCATTCTAATTATTTTACAAAAAGTGCTGTTTTAGAACTGTAACTTGTCACATGATGGCATAAGTCCTGTCCACACTTTTAAATTCTATTTGACAAAAACATGCGACATTCCTAAATATGGTCATGATGACATCACATCATCACCATATGCACATCATGACTATATATAGGCACATCATGACCATGGCACATCATGACTATATATAGGCACATCATCACCATATGCACATCATGACTATGGCCATATTCGACTGGTCGTTCCTTGTTAAACCATGCCCACCTGCGCAGTGGTAAAATCCTACTTAACGAAGACGACTAGTGGAATAGAAAACTAGTAAATACTCGACAAAACAAAATGGCTGCATAGTTACGTGATGTACACGCTGGGTAACCAAGATTGCTTGAGCTTGTGGCATGGCAGTATGTGTTTTTCGGAAAAAATGTTTTCAGAAAGTTTTTGAATTCTGTTAAACTACAATTATTTTTTTGACTTCATGTTGGTAAATATTATAATTTTTATTTTCTGAAATTTAATCTAAAATTATATTAACGCAAATGTTGTTTCTGAACTGACCAATCGGCCATGTTTGTTTTGGTCACGTGGATAACTTAACACTGATTAACGCACTCTGGTTACGTTAATTTTTGTTGTCAACGAAGTCTATTTTACGAACCAGTCGAATGAAACTAATACTCAATGAAAATCCGTAGTCAACGAAATGACCCAGTTGAATAAGCCCAATAGTACACATTCAACAGTTTTTTTTGTCAAAGAAAATTTGATACACCTTTAGTGTTGACAGAGTAGGGAGTATTAGGATTGTCTTCATTCAAGAGAAAAATAGTCATTGTGTTGGATTTGAACATGGGGTGTTAAGACTGAAATCTTGAGCGATTCAATGACCAAGCAGCAACTCCACGCAGATTTCACCCAAAGGTGCTGCTGAGCTTAATTAATGATGCATGTTTCCTCGCAGACAATGATCAACACACCAACCGTACACCATGGTCATAGTCATGAATGACCCGTGGCATTGAGCGCACTTTTCTGCGGGTCACTTGTGTAACGAGAGTGTCCTGTGGCGGCAGTTGTTGCGTATCACTTGTTTTAATCAATTTCATGTGACATGACACTTTCTTTATTTGTTGTTTTCTTGTCGCGTTCAACAAAATGTGCCAACTAGGAAATTAAGCGCATGTTAGAAGGTCTTGGATTTACAGATCAAATTTTTATTGTTATATTTTACGTATTGCTTTAAGGCCTTGAATGGCCTTGCCTAATTAAATAATTTTATTGGTGAGAATTGTGTGTTAAACAGAAGCTTGTTGATATGCTTTGTCAGCTTCAATAATACTAATAGGAAGATTGTTTTAATTTTTAAATGTTTGCAAAATTGCTTTGTTTTCATGGTGGAATTTATTTAGTCTGGGTTTCCCACGATATATTAGTAACACTTATTAGCATGTGCACAAACCATGTTTTTATCTAATTTAAAAATCTTTTGCATTAATTTTATTTATTATAGATTTTGATCATCAGATAATAATAGTTTTTGGATTGGGTTAAAAACAAAATTGATTTTGTCATTTTGATCACTTGTGTCAGATTTGAACTTTTAGGATTTTTAAAAGTTTCTCTAAATGATTGTTAAGCTACTTTGTTTTAAAACTACTTTGGGATATACAATACTGTACTCTATAAGACAATTGATATACTCTATTGTAGCTTCTGCTGGATAGACCGCCATCACAAAACATTGTTGAAATATTACATAATAAACATTATGTTACCTATAGTAAAATTAACAATAAAGATGTCAAATTTAGAGCAAATTCAATGATTTAATAGCTGGATTTAAAAAAAAATATTATGTGGCTACAATTGAATAAAAAGGATACTGCTCTGATCTGAAGTAGCCATATATTTGTGCTAAATGTATGAATGTATGTATTAAATGAAAAATAATTGTTCCCTTGACAAAATTAAGTTTTGAGAGGTTCAGAAATAATTAAAGAGAAGTTTATGGTAATTTTTTAAAGTGTGAAATTGGAATTGGTCAATTAGCCAGTCTAATGGGATGAGAAGAAAATACTCAGGAAGGAAAACATTGTGAGGATAATATTGTGAATCTTAGTTCTCTTCCGATTTCAAAAGCCAGCATCTTAGGGCCCGTTTAGACGAGTAAAGTTTTACCGGGTACAACTGAGAGGCCACGTGTGGCAATTAAATTTTGCCTCTAGCCATAAAAAATTTGAAAAACATCTGTCTCAAAAACCCATCTTTTTTAGTGGATATTTCAATTACATGCTGCCTCCATTCATAGTGTATCACATGTAACAAGTCCATGTCAAAGTTGACCTTTAGATTTGTATACAACACCGGGCCAGAGTAAAATTCCTATCGTTCAATCTCGTTCCCATTTTCTCATAATACTTTAACTCCTTATGAAAATAACTTAAGTAATATTTAAAAGCAATAAAAAAGTTTGACAGTAAGAACTTTAGCAAAACACGAGAAAATGACGTTTAAACTTACAACAAAAAAAAGTTGCTTACGGTAGGCTTTCTAGCGAGCGAGCGACATTTTTACATGTATTCGTTCAAATGTTGTATTTCTAATTCATAGTTTATTATTTGTTAAGTGAGTAATTACTGTTTAAAAAACAAACTTAAAAATTATAATTAGATGTAATTTGTATTTCAATAACAGAAAAATAATTTTATACATACTTTTAAATTAGTTTTGTTACAACAACTTTACGAGTTGTTTTACAGTCAACAACAACATGGCGTCGTTTAGCGGCGGACATGTGCCGAATGTTTTGTTATCACGGTGAAGAAATCACTTCAAGCTCCAAATGAAGTTACAAAGGCTAGATTATGTATATAGTTTTAAACAGTAACAACAAAAATATTGCTAAAAAACTTGTGTCTGACCTTGGTTGAAGGAAAGACATACGAGAAGTTACTGGTTTTTACCGGTTATTATTCTACTTGTCCGAAAGGCCGTCGGAATTAGCCCCAATGCTATTATTTGATTACACATGTATTTGAGTTTACGTCTGAACACG